CAACCAACACTATTTATTTTCGTGAATGTCTTCAGCAGCTTGGCATGTGCCTTCCCTCTACATCATCTGTTCATAGAGGTTGTCGTGACACATGGACAAGGCCAGACGGAGACGCAACCTTCTGCATTGACTATGTTGCGGTCTCGCAGGAATGGAAGATGCATTGCACATGGTCCGAGGTACTTTCAGATTTCGACCTTGCTACCACGAGATGTGACCATCAAGCAGTTGGTCTCGAATTACGATGGTGGCAGCTTTGCGAAAGCAGACCGAAACAAAAACCAAACCACACGGTCTCTTGGCACCAGGAATCTACTCAGCGGCAGGTTCGTGCCCTGATTGGACCACAGACGTCGAGACGCAAGAAGTAAGTCTCAGCACACAGATCGACAGCATTCTGAGCTCCCAGAGAAGTGGCAAGAACAAACCCAAAAAATGCTACATTGATGAGGAAATCTGGGAGGCACGGAACTTGATGCTGTCGCTTCAAAAGAGATTGAAACAGGTCCGCAATCGCATTGGCAGGGAGTCGTTGTGGATTGTTTTCAATGCATGGAGGACAAGCAGTCAGCCGCGGCTGATACATGAGCACTTCCAATATGGCACCACTCTGAGATGTGATGCACTTCTTCTCCTTGCGAAGTTCCGGGATCAACGATGCAAAGTTCGAAGAAAACTCAAATGCGCCAAGGTTAAGCACATGGAGCAATGCCTGGAGCAGGTCACGGAGCACACTGCGGCCTCCTCCATCCTGCGCATCCTGCGAGGCTTCATTGGTCCTACCAATCCAAAGAAGCAGAAGAAAGGAACGCTGCCGATGCTTGAGAAGGATGATGGAACGATTTGCACAACATCGGAAGAAGCTTTGCAGGTTTGGATCAAGTTTTTTGCCGAGATGGAGGGAGGCAAAAGACAATCAATGGAGGAGTTACATGCTGATTGGCTGAACGACTTGCGCTCTGAGCCGATTGAGCCGTTCCAGATCTCGGTGAAGGAGCTCCCTACCTTGGCTGACCTTGAACTGGCCTATCGACGAGTTGCAGTCGGCAAGGCGACTGGACCAGATCGTGTACCAGGTGAACTATGTCATTTGGCACCTGCAGCCTGTGCACGAGCTACGTACTCCTCACTTTGGAAACTCTTGCTGTTTGGCCATGAAGCACTACGGTACAAAGGTAGATTGCTTGTACAAGCGTACAAAGGCAAGGGTCAGACCACTGCATGCAGCTCTTACCGTTCATTGTTGATTTCCAGCCATATTGGGAAATCCTTGCATCGTACCATCAGATGTTCACAAGCTTGCATCTTCGAAACGTTTTTGCAGGCACAACAGCTGGGAGGCCGTCGGGCCATGCCTGTGACCTATGGAGTTCATTTGGTTCGAGCATTTCATCGGCAAGCACGACATCATGGTCACTCATGTGCCCTCATCATGCTCGATCTAAAGGAAGCTTTCTATCGAATTTTCAGACCGATTTGCATGGAGGGTGCGGTCACTGATCAAGCGATTGCACAGCTCATGCAGAGATTGAAGATGCCAGAAGATGCAATGACGGAACTCCACAGACTTCTACGTGGCCCTTGTGCATTGGAACAAGCAGGCATGAACCCGCAGCAAAGACGCAGTATCCGAGCGGTGCACTCGCAAACCTTCTTCTGGATGCACCACCAGCATGATGTGGTTCAGACTACACATGGTTCCAGACCTGGTGACCCGTTCGCAGATGTGATATTTAGCTATGTCTGGGCTGTGGTGTTGAAAAAGTTGCAAGATTTCATGCAGCAACAGAACATCCTCAGTGCATTTCCGTCCAGACCTACGTTGATGCTCTTCACAGAGGACCCACCAGAGGCAGCTACCCATGAGCAATTTGTCGGACCAACTTGGATGGACGACTTATGCGTTTGCGTGGAGGGACATTGTCCTGCGCAGACCATTACAAGAGCGTCTCTGGCGACGGGCCGCCTCCTTGAACTCTGCATGGAGCATTGTATGACTCCGAATTTGCAGCCAAACAAAACCGAAATCCTCTTCTCTCTCCGTGGAGAGGCGTCGAGGCAGCACAAGAAAGAGCTCTACGGGACACACGCGGCTGGTCACCTACCAATCGTCTGCGAATATGGCACTTTTCAGGTTCCTGTCGCATCGAGGTACTGTCATCTTGAAGGGCTGGTTCATCATGTGGCAGATCAACAGGCCGAGATCAAACGACGCATTGCCATTGCTCATACTGCAATGACACAACACAGCAAACTTGTATTCCGCAATTGGTCAATCCCCTTGATGAAGCGGGTACAATTGTTTGAGGCGTTGATCTTGAGCAAATTGCTCTATGGAGCCGACACATGGATAGTCACTGATGACAAGACAGAAAAGTACTTCCATGCGGCCACCATCAGACTATATCGAAGACTCCTCCCTGTTCCTCATGACCAGCATCTACATGATCTTGAAGTTTTAGCACAGGTCAAACTCCCGAGCCCCATTGAACTCCTTCGCCGTGCGAGATTGCGCTATGTGGCCACGCTACTGCACAGCGGACCGAGACGAGAGTGGGGACTACTTGAGCAAGATCGGCAGTGGATCCTCCTGGTCGAAGAAGACATGAACTGGGTATGGAAGCAGCTTCAAAATTGCTCAAGTCTTGGCCGGCCTCAAGATCATTGGGCACAATGGCATGGTCTGATTTTACACCACCGTACGTACTGGAGGAAACTTGTTCGCCGTGCGTGTGAACATGCCATCCTTCAACGAAGCAATGAGTGGCATATCCTGCACTTTCATCAGCTTGCGGTACAAGGACTCAGAGCTTTCTTTGAATATGTGCCACATGACGAGGAAGAAGCAGAAGACACTGGAGTTACATTTGGATGTCTTGCCTGTCGCAAACGATGTCGTTCACACGCAGGCGAAGCAGCACACATGTTCAAGGTCCACCAGCACCATGCCAGCAGACGGAGCTTGGTGGACTCGACAAGCTGCCCAGCCTGTCTCAAGGAGTACCACACCATGGAAAAGATAACGGCACATTTGTACTACTCCAAAAGATGCAGACGCCTCTTGCAAAGCCGCAACTACACCTGCACTCCAGAACCAGGCACAGGTTCTGCCAGGGACAGAAAGTTGAAGAACCAACATGATCGACTTCTTCCACCTCTCCGCCTTGAAGGTCCGCAGCAACCTGTTCCGCGGCTTAGGGAGGACCCTGGCATTGACAATGACCTACACATGGCAATCATGGAAATCTGTATTGATGCGCCTACGATGACGGACGCTATGAATCAGATACAGAATGAAGCGAGGGCACGAGCTATCTCCTGGACTACCTGGACGCGCACTTTGCACTTCTTCGAGGACTCCCTGAACGACGCGGACATTGAGCACTGGAGGGTCACCATCGCGCAGGTCAAGCATGAGCTGAGCACTCTGCGACAACCGAGCGAGTGGGGACTTGATGAGCCGCTTCGCAAAGAGATCAAGATCAGTGAGACCAGAGCAGCTCTTGAGCGTGAGTGCATTGATTTTGCAGTGACAGACTGGAGCATGCATCCTGCGATCCCAAGGGCGTTTGGACGGCACCGTGTGTTCCTTCACCTTTTCGCAGGACGCCGACGTCGAGGGGACTTTCAATTTTACCTTGACAACATGCCTCCACCGAGTGCATACGTGCTTCACGTTGTCAGTGTTGACATAGTGATTGACCCTGTCTGGGGTGACGCTACTGCCACTCAGACGCGGACGTACTGGCTACGTATGGCACAAGAAGGCTAAATTGCAGGGTTCATTGCAGGGCCTCCCTGCGAGACTTGGTCCAGAGCACGCGGAAAACAAGTGGCAGGACAACAGAAGGAGCTGCATGCTCCCAGAACTGTCAGGACGGAGGAACACCTCTGGGGCCTTCCCAGCCTGGCTCTGAAGGAATTAGTCCAGGTTGCCACTGGTAACGAGTTGCTCACCTTCACTCTGTTATTGGCGTCGATGATGGTGCAGACGGGCGGCCTTGGCATTGTGGAGCACCCTGCGGAACCTGAGGAAGACCAGGCGGCCGCGATTTGGAAGCTTCCATTTGTTCAGGCGCTCCTTGCGGCTCCTGGTGTGACCAGGCGTCGACTGGCACAAGGGCTCTTCGGCGCCCCGTCGCCGAAGCCGACGGACCTCCTGGTCATCAACATTCCTGATCTTGCGCTGGAGCTGAGACGGTGGATGACTAGGTCGACTTTGCCAAAGGGCAAGGCGATAGGTCTAAGCCAAGAGGGCAATTGGAAGACGGGATTCCTGAAGGAATACCCGCCCGCTTTTTGCGGTGCATTGGCCACTGCAATTCGCAAGGGCCTTGACGGCATGGAGATGGCGGCACAAGCTTCCCCTTCGCCGGAGGATCTACAGAGATGGACAGCCATGAATCTGGCTACGTACAGTAAACATCTCGGCACAGACTTCGCGAAGTAGGAACTGCCATCTTTAGAATTCAAAGACAGCACCGGTCGCAGAGTTAAGCAACAATGGACGTGGGAAAAAAATATAATTACTGCACAATGTAATGCACGCATTTCCCCTGTATATATCTTATTTTTTTAATTTATTCCATTGTTACATGTCACTTGGTATGGTGTCATGTGACACGTGGGAAACTATCCTTGAATATTTCTCTACTACGGTATGCATGTGTGCGCTGTCTCTTCCCTGGACCATGAACCATTCATGGGTTTGAAGAGACCTGAACCCACAAGCTGGTCCTCATCATTGTTTTTCAAGTTATCAATTTCTTCAAATGGAACCTCGTCATAGAATCATTCAACTTCATCAACGCCCACTTGCAGTTTTTTCTTTTTCTCTTCTGCTGCTTCGTGCTGCTTCGGGGGTGAAACATTGTGAAACCTTGGCTGATCACATAATCATCAAATTGGTTGGTTGATAGGGGTTCCCAATGGTTCCCACAATGGGTCGTGATATGTGATAACAATCTAAAAGAAACCAGACCAGGTCGTATAACCCGGTATTATAACCACATATAACGAGTAGTTGACAAGGGTTTTGGCTGCTCAGGTGGCTCAAGGTCATTCTGCATCAGTGGGGCAAAGCCGTGCGGCAGGCGGCTTGCCACTCGCCGATACCACCGCTTGTGTCTGACATCAGCAGATCTCAAATCAGCTTAACATCAAAGTGCTGGGGAGGTGGAGCAGGACAGAGTTGGGTCTTCTAAGTATAACGGTACGAATCGAATTCCATTCTTTTATTGACAATTTACTTGCGGTGTCACCATGGTCTGAAGAGCAAGACGATGCAAAAGGTACAGGGTGGCTGTAGCAGCAACATCTTGCGCCCTGAAACGGGACGCTGCAAATCAGCTGCAATATCTTGACGTATCAATGTGCTGGCAGGCCTTGGCATTGCTTTTCGGCTTTCCGTGCACAAATTCACCACGTCCTTGGGGCCATGCACCCATCCATGCAAATTCCGGAGATCAGAGGGGAAGAGAAGGAAACTCCAAATAGCTCAATTCTTCATGGATAATATTCAGTAATATATAATTCGCAATTGCCCAGAATTATCCGTCTAGCCCCTCTCTGAAAAACGCAAGGATTGGAAACAGCCGACTAGAGTCACCAGATGTCACCAGGTATCCTCTCTGAAGAGCGGCCAAGCTGGAGACGCACGCTGGCCCAGGATGTCGCGAGCAGCCCGAGCACCACTCACAACTGATGCATGCACATTGCCTGCGGCAGTGTGGACATCTTATCAACGTGTCCCCCCTATTCAGGCCCTATTCTTGGAATTCCGAAGGAAAACACTAAGCAAGATCATCAGAGACAGCCCTTCTGTTTTGCCGCGACCAATGATGTTGAGGAGCTGGTTTGCGGCATCGATGTTCAAGCTAGAAAGCATTTGTTGTAGTTTACCCGGGATTCGTGTTCTATACAATCCAAACCCAACTGAATGCACCTTATAGTAAGATCTTCAAGCTCTGCAGGGCTGTGAGGCGGTGCATATGAACTATTAGAATAATATAGAACAAAGTACATATTATATATATGTATACAACAATATAGAACAATCGCGCGTGCAGTATGTATATTTATATATGTGTGCGCACAAGTTTACATCATTCTATTATATTATATAGTATGTTACATTATATTATATTATAAAATATAATATTGTATTATATTTGATTATGTTATCTTATCTTGTAAATCAAAATAATATTGTGGTTCATTAATATTATAATTACTATATATTATATAATATGTGTGTATAGCATTGTATAGCATAGCGCACATAGTGGCAGCTGAGTCACCGTAGAGAAGTCTGCAAGCACCTTCTCCTGCAAACAGGAGTCGGTCCCCGACACTTGCCGCAACTGCGTCGAAGTCCTGGCAACTCTACATAGGATCTACAGAGTCAGCGAGCAATTCAAGATCACATAAGATCACGGGTGAAGAGCCAGTGATACAAGTTGATATCATTTGATATCTCTCTTTCATCCTCATTTGTTCGAAACGTCTGAAAAGGCAAATGGCCTGGAATCAATTGGGCATTCATATGCATTCATGGATATATCTCGACCAACCTGCTGAAGGATCATTTCAGGTTTGCTCCTTGACAGAGGAGTTCACGCGGGCGTAGCTCCAAGCTCCACGGATGTATGGATTGCTTGCCCATCTGGTGATTCCAACATCTAAAATGCTAGCTTCACCAACCAGTGGTGCCAGCTCATTACTCACCGCTCCTCGATACATAGGCGAAATTGAATGAAATTGAGACATATCTTGGCGGCAGAGTCAAGCCGCGTACAGGACTGATCTGCCTTCCACATTCGGCAAGTTCTAGCTGTAGCTGATTGCGAAAAGAATTCAAAATAGAAAAGGGGCACAAAAAGGCATCAATCAAATATCAATCAGTGGTCTTGTACTTGCCGAGTTTCTCTTCAATTCATCTGCATCCATGCCTTCAGCCTGGATTGCCTCGCTTCCGCCCAGGAAGCATTCCTCACAAGTGTTGACACTTCCCGGGACAAGAGCCCGACCCATTGCTCCAAACTGCTAAATCCTGAGGAAATCCTGTACAGGATTGCCAGGTCTGAATTTCTCTTTGCCTCACAAATCTCGCACCATCTCACAGCATTCACATAATGTCACCACACCTAGTGACCTAGTCCAGCTATGCCCAGCTATGTCAAGCTGTTCAGCCCCAGCTTCCAGCACATGTCCACGGCCTTCTGCAATGCTATTGATGCAATAGGACAGGGTGCCATTGCCCAAGAATCCCACTGAGTAGGCGCCAGACAGCTTTGGAGAATCATGAGCTAATCTCACCAACCTGAGGGCTAAAAGGCCAAAATAAACCAAAAGCGGAGAAGCTGCAAGAACCTATATAATCATATAATATCATATATAATCATATATATAACATGTCCACAATTAACATTAACACGTGTCGCTATTTTCTAATTGATCTGAGCTGCACTTTGGCGACGTTGCCCATTCCCAACGAATGGATTGCTTCTCTCTTCCACTTTGGCAATGGTGGTTCGAAGATGACATTTTCCTTGCGAGCGCAGGTGTTATTGGTCGCTGCATGTCACTGCAGCTTAAACCAAACCTCTGCTGACTTCACCTGACATAGCTGCGACAGCTGAACCAAACTAAGCGTCGGTTTGCAAAGCTCCGATTGAGGCTGTCATGATCAGGGCACTGCCTTAGTTGCTCACTGACAAGGCCCCATGATGCCCCATGCCATGTCAAAGAGCTGCTGGGTCACCCATTCGGACCCATGCATCTGCAAGGACAGATGACAAATCACGCCCTCCCCTGCCGTCCTTGAAAGCGTTCGCCGTTCTTTACAGTTGCAACCACGCCCTTGGTGGAGTACTCCACTCCTTAAAAAAAAGTTGGTTGTGATACATCACCGCACACGTTCATATCCTTCACCGTGTCAAAGATGTTGCCAAGAGGGAAATATAGGGAAACTGAAAAATTAAAGGACCAAATAACCCCACATGTCAACTTCTTCCAATAAGCACGAAACGAATGTGAAAATAAGATGGGAAAGGCAGGAAGGATAAAGGACATGGTGGAAGACAGATGTGTGTGACAGAGTTGTGCGTAAAAGATGTGAAAGAGTTGGGTTAAAAAATGTGTGGTGACACAGTCATGTGTGTGTGTGAAAGAGTTGTGCGTGAAAGGGTTGTGTGCGAGAGAGGTTTGTGTGCGAGAGAGTTGTGTGCAAAAGAGTTGTGTGTGAGAGAGTTGTGTGTCAAAGAGCTGCGTGTGTGTGTGTGCGACAATGTTGTGTGTGAAAGAGCTGTGTGTGAAAGAGTTGTGTGTGTGTGACAATGTTGTGCGTGAAAGGGTTGCGGGTTGTGTGTGAAAAAAATGTGTGTAAAAGAGTTGTGTGTGTGTGTGTGCGTGACAAAGTTGTGTGTTGTGAAAGAGTTGTGCATGTGTGTGTGACAACGTTGTGTGTGAAAAGAGTTGGCTGTGACAAAGTTGTGTGATGTTGTGTGTGAAAGAGTTGTGTGAAAGAGGTGTGTGAAAGAGTTGTGTGAAAGAGCTGTGGGCGGGTGACAAAGTTATGTGTGAAAGAGTTGTGTGTGAAAGGGTTGTGTTGTGAGCCACAAAGTTGTGGGTGATAATGTCGTGTGTGACAAAGTTGTGGGTGACAAGGTTGTGAGTGAAAGATTTGCGTGTGAAACTATGTCTTTTCAATGTCCTAAGCCTTTGTATAACATTACTCATGTTTATCCAAAAAAAGTCGTTCTTGGGGGGGGCCAGTGAACCGACATGAAAATGTGGTAGTACAAACGAGGATGATAAAAGCCAGTTCGACTGCTTGATACTACTTGGTCTTGATGAATCAGAATTGAATCATGTGCAGTCGCATTGCACGTCTGATCCTTCCTGGACGTCCTGGATGAGCTACTGACAAGATTCTGGCCACAGGTGAGCTTGTCCGCAGATCGAGACCGTCTGCCAAGCGGTCCACCAGAGCGGAGTAGCCCCCTGCACAGATCGCAGCATTCCAGCATTCCAGCTGAGCCAGACATCGCACTATGTCATGGTACAACACTATACAAGACATTACAACACGATACAACACTATAACACTATACAACCCTACAACACCCATACCCCCAACATCAATCTCAGGCCAGGCTCTCCTGATTGACAACATGAAGACCCTGTAAGATGTGCAGCAAACATGCCAACTGATGAACAAAATTCAAGCATGCGAAGCAAAGGACTGCTGTAGGTGCTAAAGAGTTTTTTGACACATCCTGCCTTTCACAAAGCCATCACCATTTTTCTCGTTTCCATCTGAGCGATCTGGGTAGAAATCCGTGTAGTCCTCCACGAACTCGGCCTGAGCACCTTAAAATAACAGGGATCAGAAACTGTTCAAAGTCCATTCTCGCTCAGCAAAATGTGTGCATTGACGTTTTGCCATCCCATCATCCCCCCAAAGCCCCACATGCCCCACCATCCCCAGGTGGCTCTATATATATAATGTAGAAGCACCCTGTAGTGCCAGAGAAACTACTGTCGGACACGCAAACGCACGCAACGTCTAAGAGTCAGTTGGTAGATATTATTCATGAGGTCCGCTCGTACCATGCGGGTACATACGGCAAACACACACATAAACACATGGCATCGCAAGCTGCAGAAAAGCTACTGAGTTGCAGCATGCTGGAACCCGAATCCTGCTCGAAAAACTGCAGAGACTATGCGCAAAACTGTACAGGATGCCAACTATACCAATTTCACCTTCACTTCACTATAAATTTGGCATCAGTTTGGCCCATTGCACCCGCACGAATTCAATCAATGCTTCCCATAGAATCAACCTGTGCCAGGTGCCAAGGGTCCTGCTCATATGAGACCTTCTGATGCCACGCCAACAGCGCCTTGCCTTGAAATGAAATCGGGCGCTCAAAGCTGGGGACGTGGTGACCACCCAATAAAACGCAAAACATGTTTCAGTTTTGGTTGGAAGGTAAAATCCGGAAATTCATATGTTTTTTTTATAGAAAAAACAAGTAGCTAGCAGCTAGATAGACAAATTGGCGGTAGATTGATCGGTAGATCGATGCTTGGTTGTTGATCAAAATTCCTTTATCCGCAAACGGATGCAAACGGCCATTCTTCGCAAATAAACACGTTACTTTCGCGAAACTTTCGCGAATTCCACGTTTATCTTTGGCGGAACCCATGTTGGGCAACAACGCCTCTTGTAAAGATTCATTCATCACCTGCCAAACTACGCCAAAGAATCACGGATCACTTCTTGATAGCCTTTTAAATATGCAGTTAGCATCACGGAGTCGCTTCTCAGGACAGATTGTTGCTGACTAGGTTTTTTGCAAGGTTTACTGGCTGCATTTGGAGTTTGTTTCTTGAGACTTCAAAAAGAATCATTAGGCAGTGACAGCGGCAGGTGCAAGGATGTGCTTCAGGACCATGGTGGTTGGCTGTCGCGGAGCCTCACCTTTTGAAGCTCGGCTGCTACCTATGAAGGGCAAGGTGATTGCCCAAAAGCACCACACAGGAACTGGACCAGAACCAAACCGAAATTCTCCGGCACCCTTCTCCTGCCGTTTACAAGAATATTTACAATCATGATTAGATTATAATATCCAACTTGCGCGAAACTCTCGCGAAACTTTCACGACAAAAATGTCAATCCACGTTACTGTCGCGAACACGAAAAACTTTCGCGAGCGTTCCCCTGCAACAACATGAACAGTCTTCATAATTAAAACATATTAAAACATATTAAAACATATTAAAACTCTTTACACATCTTTACGCCTTTAGATCGGTTACCACTTAGACAAGCAAACGAGCACACAAACAAACAAACAAACAAACAGACAAACCAACCAACCAACAAACAAACAAACAAGCACACAAACACACACACACAAACACGCACAAACACAAACAAACAAACACGCAAACAAACACACAACCACACAAACCGAACGACCGACTGAACGAACGACCGACCGACCGAACGAACAAGCAAACACATACTTGCTCCCTCTATCTCTCTAACAATTGATTTGTGTATGTGGCGTTATTTTTCTGTAGGTTGGCTGGTGGTCAAGGTAAATCAAATTTTCTCCTGCTTTTCCAGTGCACCAACCAGCCGACTAGTGTCACAACAAATGACACAATTCAAAATATTAAACGAAGCAATAAAGTGTAATTATCCCTGCAAGTGCCCTCTCCCAGGCTCGAATAAGACCTACAGGTTCGAAATTACAAGTCCGTTCAAAATGCGAATCTAGCATTTTGCAAGACTTCAAACTGTGCCAAGATGTGCCAAGTTTCTGCTATTGGAGTACTTCACTTTCTTCAAAGCTTCTTCCCAAGCTTCAGCAACGGATTTGCTAATGTTGCACCCATCCTGTGGCTTTCAAAGTTTGCTGTCTTGGAACCTTGTGTCTGCTTGCCTTGGTACCTCTGTTTCACCTTACGAGTAACTACCGAACCAAATAAGGCGAAAATTTGACAGTTGCTACGAAAAACCTAAGAATCTCTGCCTACGCTATATATCCGAGGCAACTTCCCCAAGCAAAGTCTGCATCAAACATGATGCCGTACGTGTATCGCAAATAAACAGCTTCATGCATACAGGAACGTAACGGAACCAAGTAGAACATCATTCCCGTGTAAAGGATTCACCTTGGACTCACAGCGTACAAACCGTGCAAAATCTTATCAAATTTATTACGCGGCCCGATAATACGGTTATCGCTTATCATCCACTATTATCAGTGTTCATGCTTCTCGTATACTTCTGCAGACTGCCCGTGGCCTCAACATGGGTTTCTGCTGCTACCACGGCTGTTTCGAATAGGTCGAAGGAGAGGTCTTGCTCAGTTGCTGTTAGCTCCCTGAAGGCCATCTTCCCATGGAAGACTCGGAACCGTTCTCGGGGCCCCTCGTAGTCATCATCACCACCAACCCGGGCCTCCAGTGAGGCAGAAGTTGAAGGAAAATTAAGGAAACAAATGAAAGATGGCACAGGCATGGAAGATCATCGAAGCCAGGTGGCATGGGAGGAGATGAGATGAAAATGATATTGAATGATTGAGCGGAAGCACGGCTCAGAATTCTCAGCTGGCCTGCGAAATGTTGTACATGCGCAGCAGCAAAGAAACTGGGACGTTGTCGGTGCCACCATGGACCTCAGGAAAGGAGGAAACATCTTCATGTCTCAGGGAAATCAATGGTATTAAGACTATTAAGAAAAGCAACTTGCCAAGATTTTAGAAACCCAGAGTAAGATTGGTCAAAAGCAGCGTAGAGAAGAGTAGAGCAGAGAAGGGCTTCAAGATCTTCAAGAGTAGAGCAGAGTACGGAAGAGTAGAGTCGAGAAGGGTACAGTAGAGAAGGGCAGGGTAGAGTAGAGACCTCAAAAATCATCAGTAGACATCATCTGAGATTGCCGCGCAACGGTTGTGAGACTGTCTCGGGTCATGCTCGGATCATTCCACGGTCGGCCGCGCACTGGAATTGAGGATTCATTTGGTGAAATTGGTTTTTAACTGCTGTCTTCACGCGTTGATGTTTTCTGGCAGCTCTGTGCTTGTAAATCGCATTGACTGCCTTCATGTTGCTGCTTGGTGTGTCTGCGCGCGTAGTTCCTTTGGGACGTTTGCGTTTTCAGGCCATATATCCGGGCACAAAGGATGCTGTGCACGAGTTTGTGTTGGGAAGTTTATGTGGTTGCTCTGTGCAGTCGGACGGCTGCGTCAAGTGACTTTTGACGTTTGCCTTCGCGCTGATGCTTTGGGGTTTTGCAATCCCATGGTTGCTTCGCGCAGTGAATTGTTGCGTCAATACTGCTGCTTTGCGACCTTGTATGACATGACATCTTGCATTTTCCGTTGAAAATTCCTTTCCAAACGCTTGAAAAATGTACTGTTACCTGCTGTGTCTCTGACATCCTTTTCTGGCAGCTTAACATGCTCAACTTGCTGTGAGCACGCAGAGTCCTGCTTTGGTACTTTGCAATCCTACGCCTGCTCTGCCCAATCAATTGCTGCGCCAAGTTGCTGTGGAGATGTGTTTGACATGTCAAGGGAAAGATTTCAAGAGACGAGGCGTGAAGAAAAAGAGATGTCAAACAAAAAAAGGTGCCAAGAGAAGAGATGTCAAAAGAAAGAAATGCCAAGGGAAAGAGATGTCAGGTGAAAAAGATATCACGAGGAAAAAATGAGAAGAGAAGGAACAAGGTGTCAAGACCAAAAGGCGTCGAGGCAAAGAGATGTGTTTTTCACCCAACATGCCCTTGCCTTCTGAAACCTCCGCCCCTGGTTTGCGCTGGTACTACAAAATGGTGTATATTTGTGCGTGTCTGCATCTATTAGGTGTGAAAGCATGTTTTGCGCGCCCGCGGGCACATGCACTCATGCATGTGGCAGGCGCATGCACATCTGCGGATTTATAGTTCTGTACTTGCACATGGTACATGTTTATTGTTGGTGCTTATAACGTGGTGAATGTTAATGCACGCGTCTATGTATCGATGTATCTATGCATATACTCATCTATCTGCATTCTGTATGTCTATCTATCAATATGACAAACATACAAATATATAATATATGCGTGCGTGTGCACAATAATTATTTATATAATACCAATAAATATTATAATTATATATAGTTCGATTGGTTTTTTGAATGCTGACCTCCTATGAGATCGATACTTGCCCCAACTCCGCTGCCACATATGGCCAAGAAGCCCAGTGAGCACCCTCCTCTATGTGTTGGAAAGGGCCCGATGCAAAGGTATGAGTTCGACCACCCTTGGATCAAAGTCAAAGTTGCGAGACAATACAAGAATCAGCGTCATGTGTGCTTGTGACAGAATGACAAACTTCTTTTTTTCCACCTTGTCGGAAGAGTGCCAGGTCGCACCTATATCCGTCACATGGAGCTACTTGCTGTGACGCTTGAGCCCGGGGTCAACCTGGAGAGACTGCACATGATGCCACAGGTGATCTCCAGCTCAGAACAGAGATGTCGTGGGGCTCTCGGCCATGAAGCGATCGACCCGGCACTTGGCACGTGCGTCTCTGTGCACCTTTTTGTGTAGGTCCACAATCAGCAGGTTCCTGGCGGGCGCAAAGGATCAGCATCTTCAAGGAGACTATGGCTGGACCATGCTGTGCCCTCTGGAAACTGACGCCGGTATAAGCGTCAACTACAACGGGTTCAAACGCCCATCTCGGCTGCCAGGTCATCGGCTTCGTAGCCAGCCAGCCACTTTGAAGTCATGACAAAACAAGTCTCGGTGAAAATCTGGTGTGGTGTCGGTGCCAGCACAAGGCCAGACTTTCAAAAACGCCTTGCGAATCTGGAGCCAATCGGTCCAGGCAAAACGATAATGGCTGCTGTCGTGCTTCTTGTTGCTGAAGCTGGCCACGGATCCGGATTTTGCCACCTGGTCGGTCCCCCACTTTAGATCGACAGGTAGATCCACAGGTGACATCGTCGTTGGGTCTGCACGTGCAGCGTCAGTAGCTGTCTGAAGCTGATGCTGTCCCAACTGTTCCTCACAACGTCGTTCACGTTGTGCCAAGTCCTCCTCCTTCGAAGGACTAGCCATCCATCTTGTAGTTCTTGCCGGAAGTGCGTCTCCCGCACCTCGTTCCTTCTGCATGAGCTGCTTTGGTGCTTCAGGCTGCGCCAACGCCACTCTGGTCTCTGCCAGCTCCTGCGCGAAACTCACCATACCGCAGTGGACATCGTATGGCAGAGTTGTCACGTGGGAATCGCCATTGAAGTGCTATGGGGCTGCCGTTGGCACGTCTAAGCTCCTCTATAAAGTTTCTGGATCGGCTTCGGGTGCTGTCCTGAGCTCCTCACAAAGGTTTCTGGATCCGCTTCGGGTGCTGGTCGCTGCTGGAGGCGCAGACACTGGCCGGGCCGCTGACGCATCTGGCTTCTATCTATATAGGCGCAGCATTGTAGGCATGGGCGCATAGCCATACACCTATATCTGATGCTCGCTGATGGCCAGCGCAAAATTCCGTAAATACAGTAGCAGAAGATCGGAACTATATAAGTGTGCTCAAATCACGCCAATTTTTTGTGGACAAGATGTCTCTCTGTTCGATGAAACCTCACAATAATTTTTGGGTAAAACGTATATCAAGGCACTTCCTGAGGAGAAGGCGTTTCCTGAGGACTTGGGCCCTTCTCTGCCGCATCTTATCCTCAAGTCTCCCTTGAAGACATAACTCCCGTAGCTCCAACTTCTTCCCAGCTAACGCCAGCTAACGCCTGTGACGTCTGATTCTGATTGATTCTGCGTCTCGCTCAGAGGCATGTGCTTCTCCATCATCTCCTTCGATGCCTGAGTCTGCATCTCATGCAAATCCATCTGCATCGCCATCACCTCGTTTGGACATCTGAGCCTGCAACCTCCTCATCTGCATGTGGACATGGTATGGCACAGAAAGAGGACCAGCACTGGGCTGGAACTCGCATGGCTGTTGTGACACGCCAATGCCACAGACGTGCTGCTGGACGCGAAGTCGATCCCACCCCGAAGCTCCCATCTCAGGTTTTGGTCTCACCTATATAGGCCGAGCCCGATGCAGTGCCGAATCAGTTCGGTCCGGTTCCTGGATAGACAACGTCAGGGCCGGTGGCTGAAGCATATCCAAACTCAGGCCAGGGATGGTGCTCTGCTGGCTGCAGGATGCTGCAGGGAACATCTCAGCAGGCCATGGACATTGCGCAGACATTCAGGCATCACCTCTCTGTTCAGCCTTACTGCTGTTGGCATGGGCTCGTGTCTCTGCGAGTTCATCAGTTGAGAAGCCGCTTCAACTGGTGTCACTCCCTGGGCATACCCGATTGAATCACCGGACTTGCTGCCTGGATTCGAACCACCTCTCTCATTGCACCAGCGGGTTGGGTAATTATTGTTTCCACTTTCTTTGAGACAACATGAGAGAACAAATCACAAATATCACAATCATGTCCCGGTATATATCCCATAAATCTATCATTGAGCACCGTTGAGTCAATTGACGCGGACAATCTCAACTTGCAACGTTAACAATGTGTGTGTCCAACGTTGATCAATTGAGCATCATTGGACACAGCTTGGGGGCCAAACCACGCGGTCCAAAGCTTCCAGTATCGTGACGTTGCAACCTGGACGCGGTGGGTCGCACATTCATGCGCTTAAGATCAGGTCGGATCATTGTCCGGCAAAGGGGGCCAAACAGGGACACCAAACACTAGGGGTGTGAATTGCACCATCCTCTCCAAGCCACCAAAGTGTTGCAAGGAGCTGGCTGCCACCAAGCCAGAAATGCCAGAACCAATGATGAGCACACGGCCCTCCTGGCTCTTTAGAGAAACATGCTGGAAAAAAACGGCCAAGTACCAGACAAACTTAAACATCAACCTGCCAAGTCGTTGTGGGCCTGTTTATCTGAAAAACTTTGCAGGAATCACTAAATAGTCACCTCAAGCACCCTCAAGCTATCTCACATCGTGCGCAGGGCCATGTCTTCAAAATCCTTGGGGTGAGTCTTCGAAAGCATTTGCAAAATCATCCCAAACATATTAATAATATAAAATTAGGTGAAAAGGGGGATGCACCGAAGCGAGTCTGTGAAGTTGTGTGAATTTCCCCTGCCATCCTCGCACGGAGCTGCACCGGAAACCAGTGCTGCCAGCGCAGCTACAAAGCAGACTAACGAGATGCTCATGGCACTCACGGAGGAAGATGTGTGGTCGAGTGAAACTTTTTGGACTCATTCCAAAATTGCCCAATGAGTTCAATGTGCAAGAAAGCTGCAAGCATGGTGCCTCATGTTTCAACCTGGCTTCCCTACTCTGTCATCAAGCCTGCAGCAAATATATGACACGACTTATTCTCTCTCTCTCTCTCTCTCCATCATGGGTGTTTGCAATGTTTTGCCAGGGTGCTCCTCTTGGGCCGATACTCCGATACGGTTTCCCATGGGCGCCCAGCCAAAACAAACGATTCAACGGACATTCCCTACGTGACATCAAACGTGGAGCAACAACGAGTCTTGGTGCCTTCTTTGATGTATGGTTGCCACTGGTTGCCCTGTGGTGTGGTGCCAGTGCCAAAAAATAATAAAAAATAGGGAAAGTGACACCAATCCATGGCTTTTTGCCGAGCATCGGAGGCCGGCACCTCCCAGAATCAATAGTGGGGCACACCTGCAAAGGTATAATGTTTTGCAACCGCCAGGAGGTTCTGTTCACGTCTTTTTTGCATAAGACGAATTAAAATCCTACAAGTTCTATCAAGGCTCATGCCTAATCAACCAGTGATGTCACTCGTGATCTTGGTTTTCTGAAATCTTCACATCCGTGTCGGAAGTCACAGAGTCATAAAGTGGCCAATAACCTTTCCCCCGAAGTCAATTGGATGCTCCAATTGTCTCAGCCAATCCCGGAATGTAATCAAGGAACACTTGGCCAATCTATCTATCCCAATCGGATACACATGCGTGGGCAATTGCAACATATTGCAACCCTCAGCTCGGCACATCTCTTCACCAGGATTGAGACCATAGCGCACGGGCTCACTGAGGTGATCCGAGTCAAACCTCAGACGATCATGCTTTGGTGCGGTAGTCCAACCAGAAGGTCTCACAATGTCTCACGTCTAAACAATGCTGTACCACAACAACTCACCATCACCATATCAGCGGTGGCGAAAACCCCCTTCATGACTCTCTTCCACTCCTACATGTACTACATGCCTTCCGCGATTCTTCTGCGCGGTCTTCCGCGCTGCTTCCGCGACCACAGTTTTAGCTTCTGCGGATGATTGGTAAGTTGATTCTGCTTCTGCCGAGCTTCCGCGAAAAGAAACTCACGAAGATTATAAGTTGAACAAACCTTGCTAATGGAAACTGATTGACTTTAATGTTGGATACTGATTAGTGTGGGGATACTGAATTGTGTCCACAGACCTCAAAATTATTCTGAAACTTTGGAAATGATCGAGGGTACAGTTTTGAGTCCACAGGATTTTGGTGTAAGTTTTTTTTCATTTTTTTCATTTTTTTAGTTTTTAATTGTGTTTTATTTTATTTTAAAATTTTAAAAGATTTTTTATTTTTATTTTTAATTATAATAATTTTTAATTTATTTTTTTATTTTATTTTAAATTATTTTTTTATTTTTATTTTTAGTTATAATAATTTTTATAAATTATTTTTTATTTTTATTTTTAATTAATTAATTATAATAATTTTTAAATTAATTATTGTTTTTTAATTTTAAATTATTTTTTATAATTATTTTTAATTATAATAATTTTAAATTTAATTATTTTTATTTTTAATTATATATGTTTTTTTTATTTTGTAAAATTGCGTCAGGATACACAATTGTGTCATTGTGTCAGGATACACAATTGTGTCTTGGTCTTTTTTGTTGTTCAAACATTTTTCATTTTTTTCATTTTTTAAAGTTTTTCCTTTTACTTTTTATTTTCCATCATTGAAATTTTCCAGATGCCTTCCACAGAAAATTACATCCAGGTACAAAATAGTATGGTTTGTTTGGAGGGTACACTATTGTGTCCAGCTGCTTTCCTGAGGTCATGATTTTTTTTTTTTTTCAATCATTTCCTTTACCTTTTCCTTTGCTAGCTAAAGTGTTTTCCTTTCAATCAATTTCTTTCTTAGTTTCTTTCATTTGAAATTCTCAGAAATGACCAGTTTCCCAAAATATATGATGCCTTATTAAAACCCAATTAAAAAACATCACACAAACAATTTTTCAAGGGGGTAGTCCGTGAGCAACCATGATACAGAATAGTGTGGTTTGTTTGGAGGGTACACTATTGTGTCCAGCTGCTTTCCTGAGGTCATGATTTTTTGATTTTTTCAATAATTTCCTTTACCTTTTCCTTTGCTAGCTAAAGTGTTTTCCTTTCAATTAATTACTTTCTTAGTTTCTTTCATCTGAAATTCTCAGAAATGCCCAGTTTCCCAAAATATATGATGCCTTATTAAAACCCAATTAAAAAACATTACCCAAACAATTTTTCAAGGGGGTAGTCCATGAGCAACCCTGATACACAATAGTGTGGCTTGTTTGGAGGGTACACTATTGTGTCCAGCTGCTTTCCTGAGGTCATGGTTTTCTGATTTTTTCAATCGTTTCCTTTACCTTTTCCTTTGCTAAAGTTTTTTCTTTTAATTACTTAATTACTTTCTTAGTTTCTTTCATCTGAAATTCTCAGAAATGACCAGTTTCCCAAAATATATGATGCCTTATTAAAACCCAATTAAAAAACATCACCCAAACAATTTTTCAAGGGCGTAGTCCATGAGCAACCCTGATACATAATAGTGTGGTTTGTTTGGAGGGTACACTATTGTGTCCAGCTGCCTTCCTGAGGTGATTTTGTTGTTTTTTTTCAAACATGTCCTTTACCTTTTCCTTTGCTAAAGTTTTTTCTTTTAATTACTTAATTACTTTCTTAGTTTCTTTCATTTGAAATTCTCAGAAATGCCCAGTTTCCCACAATATATGATGCCTTATTATAAAACCCAATGAAAACATCACTCAAACAATTTTTCAAGGGGGTAGTCCATGAGCAACCCTGATACAGAATAGTGTGGTTTGTTTGGAGGGTACACTATTGTGTCCAGCTGCTTCCTGAGGTCATGATTTTTTTTGTTTTTTTCAATCATTTCCTTTACCTTTTCCTTTGCTAAAGTCTTTTTTCTTTTAATTGCTTAATTACTTTCTTAGTTTCTTTCATTTGAAATTCTCAGAAATGACCAGTTTCCCAAAATATATGATGCCTTATTAAAACCCAATTAAAAAACATCACTCAAACAATTTTTCAAGGGGGTAGTCCATGAGCAACCCTGATACACAATAGTGTGGTTTGTTTGGAGGGTACACTATTGTGTCCAGCTGCTTCCTGAGGTTATGTTTTTTTTCAACCATTTCCTTGTCCTTTTCCTTTGCTAAAGTTTTTTTCTTTTATGGTATTTCTATGGTATTACTATTGGATTTCTATGGAATTCCTATGAGGTCTCCATGATGTTTCTATGGTATTTCTGGAGGATTTCTATGGGATTTCTGAAGGGGTGCTATGGGAGTTCTATGGTATTCTTATGGGATTTCCATTGGATTCCTATGGGATTTTGATGGTATTTCTATGATCTTTCCTATGGAATTTCTATTGGATTCCTGTGGGTTTCCCAAGGTATTTCCATGATGTTTCTATGATCTTTCTATGGGATTTCTGAGAGATTCCTATGGGATTTCCATGTTATTTCTATGATCTTTCTATGGGATTTCTGTGAGATTCTTATGGGATTTCCATGTTATTTCTATGATCTTTCTGTGAGATTCCTATGGGATTTCCATGTTATTTCAGTTATTTCTATGATCTTTCTATGGGATTTCTGTGAGATACCTATGGGATTTCCATGTTATTTCAGTTATTTCTATGATCTTTCTATGGGATTCTTATGGGATTTCCATGTTATTTCTATGATCTTTCTATGGGATTTCTGTGAGATTCTTATGGGATTTCTGTGAGATTCCTATGGGATTTCCATGTTATTTCTATGAGAGATTCCTATGGGATTTCCATGTTATTTCTATGATCTTTCTATGGGATTTCTGTGAGATTCCTATGGGATTTCCATGGGATTTCCATGTTACTTCTATGATCTTTCTATGGGATTTCTGTGAGATTCTTATGGGATTTCCATGTTATTTCTATGATCTTTCTATGGGATTTCTGTGAGATTCCTATGGAATTTCCATGTTATTTCTATGATCTTTCTATGGGATTTCTGTGAGATTCCTATGGGATTTCCATGTTATGTCTATGGTCTTTCTATGGGATTTCTGTGAGATTCCTATGGGATTTCCATGTTATTTCTATGATCTTTCTATGGGATTTCTGTGAGATTCCTATGGGATTTCCATGTTATTTCTATGATCTTTCTTTGGGATTTCTGTGAGATTCTTATGGGATTTCCATGTTATTTCTATGATCTTTCTATGGGATTTCTGTGAGATTCCTATGGGATTTCCATGTTACTTCTATGATCTTTCTATGGGATTTCTGTGAGATTCCTATGGGATTTCCATGTTATTTCTATGATCTTTCTATGGGATTTTTGTGAGATTCTTATGGAATTTCCATGTTATTTCTATGATCTTTCTATGGGATTTCTGTGAGATTTCTGTGAGATTCTTATGGGATTTCCATGTTATTTCTATGATCTTTCTATGGGATTTCTGTGAGATTCCTATGGGATTTCCATGTTATTTCTATGAAGGGATGGACGAGAGGTATCCTATGGGATATTTTCCAATGGTTATTTCTATGATCTTTCTATGGGATTTCTGTGAGATTCCTATGGGATTTCCATGTTATTTCTATGATCTTTCTATGGGATTTCTGTGAGATTCCTATGGGATTTCCATGTTATTTCTATGATCTTTCTATGGGATTTCTGTGAGATTCCTATGGGATTTCCATGCTACTTCTATGATCTTTCTATGGGATTTCTGTGAGATTCTTATGGGATTTCCATGTTATTTCTATGATCTTTCTATGGGATTTCTGTGAGATTCCTATGGGATTTCCATGTTATTTCTATGATCTTTCTATGGGGTTTCTGTGAGATTCCTATGGGATTTCCATGTTATTTCTATGATCTTTCTATGGGATTTCTGTGAGATTTATATGGATTGTCCATGTTAGTTCTATTGATCTTGTCTTATGGGATTTCTGTGAGATTCCTATGGGATTTCCATGTTATTTCAGTTATTTCTATGATCTTTCTATGGGATTTCTGTGAGATTCCTATGGGATTTCCATGTTATTTCTATGATCTTTCCATGGGATTTCTGTGAGATTCTTATGGGATTTCCATGTTATTTCTATGATCTTTCTATGGGATTTCTGTGAGATTCCTATGGGATTTCCATGTTATTTCTATGATCGTTCTATGGGATTTCTGTGAGATTCCTATGGGATTTCCATGTTATTTCTATGATATTTCTTTGGATTTCTGTGAGATTCCTATGGGATTTCCATGTTATTTCTATGATCTTTCTATGGGATTTCCATGTTTATTTATATGAGAATTCCTATGGGATGTTCCAGGTTTTTCTATGATCTTTCTATGGGATTCTGGGAGATTCTTATGGGATTTCCATGTTATTTCTATGATCTTTCTATGGGATTTCTGTGAGATTCCTATGGGATTTCCATGTTATTTCTATGATCTTTCTATGGAGTTTCTGTGAGATTCTTATGGGATTTCCATGTTATTTCTATGATCTTTCTATGGGATTTCTGTGAGATTCCTATGGGATTTCCATGTTATTTCTATGATCTTTCTATGGGATTTCTGTGAGATTCTTATGGGATTTTCATGTTATTTCTATGATCTTTCTATGGGATTTTTGTGAGATTCCTATGGGATTTCCATGTTATTTCTGTTATTTCTATGGGATTTTGTGAGATTCCTATGGGATTTCCATGTTATTTCTATGATCTTTCTATGGGATTTCTGTGAGATTCCTATGGGATTTCCATGGTATTTCTATGATA